AGAGCCCTCACAGCCACAGAAAAAGGATTCACTTGCAACCACCTCACCCACTTCTCCCAGCTACCATTTCATGTCTTTCCAGTCAAAAAAGGGAGGAGATTCCTCCATGGTTTTCTTTTCTCCTGACTGAGGGTATAAGAGTTCTCAAGACTTTGGTGACTCACAGTTACGACTTCTAGAAGATGGGGTTCAGAACCTTTCAATGTGATGCACTTCCTCTCAAATCCTGGGTCTTCTCTGGATTTGTTCCTTATTGGCTACTTTTTGAAGTCTGTGGCACTACAATGTGCCCTATTCCTTGTTATTTTATTGCAGTAAAATATTTTGCTAATTTGTATGGACATGGGGGGAGTGATTATTCATTTATTTAATTAGGTTTGTATTAGAAAAGGAAGGCTCCATGAGGTATACTCACTCACCACCCTGTATCAAATATGCATTGTTTTGGGGTTTTTTTTTTAAGGTTCCAAGGTACCTAAATTTTATAAATATGATAGGAGAAATAAGGTTCCTATGGGTAAGAAGAAACATAAAACCCTAAAAACTAAAGTACATACATTCTATACAATGGAATACTACTCAGCAATAAAAATAAACTATTGATACATAAAACATAGATGAATTTCAAAGGTATGGTGCTAAACTAAGTCAGACTCAAAACTCTACATAGTTTGAGTCCATTCATGAAGGCAAACAACAAGGAACACTAAATAATAGGTCAGTGGTTGCCAGGGGCTAGAGCACCAGTGTGGTGGGAGAAGACAACAACAAAGAGGAAATCTTTCTGGTAATATAACTGTTCTATACTTTGATTAACATGGTGATTTTATGCATTTACCAAAATTCATAGAACTGTACATTAAAGAGGTTAATTTTGCTGGAAAAAAAATAAAGCAGCTCATAAAGAAAAATGTTATGTGGAAGAAACTTTAGAATAACCCACTCAACTGACAAGAGAGAAAGCAAGAGAAGGGTGAATGACACTGTCACCTGAGGCAGTGGGCGTGGCTAGATGGGAATCGGTCTCTTGACCTCCATCCAGGATCCTTAGCATTGCAGCAGTCTTTTCCAGTTTTGTAACCTTGACCCACAATAAGAAATACATCATTATCACATCTTCTGGAGATTAAAACAGCACTTATTTTTATTGAATTGGGGTTACACTGATTAATAAAATTATATAGGTTTATGGTATACAATTCTATAATACATCATCTGTAGATTGTATTATATTCTCCACCCAAGTCATGTCTCTTTTCATCGCCATCTACTCCCCCTGCTTTATTCCCTCCTGCCTTCCCCCACCTCCAGTTCTCTCTGGTAATCTCCACTAAAACAACACTCATTTATTAATATCTCAGTTCTCAGTTCTGCACAAGTCTGTCACAGTGCGGCTGGATCCGTCTCACAAGGCCAAAGCAAAAGAAAGCATCAACGGACCTGGACTCTATCTGGAAGTTCTAGGGAAAAAATCCATTTCCAAAACCATGCAAGTTTCTGACGGAATTCAATTCAAGGCAGTTGTGGGACTAAGTTCTTTTCTTTATTAGCTGTGAGCTGGAGGTTGTTCTCAGGTTCTAAAGTCTCCCCACATTCCTTATTTCAGGGCTTTCTCCATCTTCAAAGCCTGCAACAATGGGTCAAGCCTTCGTGTGCTTTGAATCTTTCTGACAATCCTTTCTACATTCACCCATGTGAAAGCTCTGCTTTTAAAGGCTTATGTGATCACTTTGCACCTGCCCAGATAATCTAAGATTAACTAATTTAAAGTCAACTGATTAGTAACCTTAATTACAGGAATACCTTATTTTATTGCTCATTTTATTGCACTTCGCAGATATTGCATTTCTACAAATTGAAAGTTTGTGGCAACCCTATGTGGAGCAAGCTTATGGGCTCCATTTTTCCAACACCATTTTTTCATTTCATTTCTCTGTCACATTTTAGTAATTCTCACAATATTTCAAACTTTTTCATTCTTATTATATTTGTTATAGTAACTTCAAAACTTTAGTGGAAAAAGTAACTGCAGGTATGGTGTGGATCACAAGAGAACTAGAATTAGATGTGGAACCTAGAGTTGTGACTGACTTTCTGTAATCTCATGATTAAACTTTAATGAATGAGGAGTTGCTTCTTACAGAGGAACAAAGAAAGTGGTTGCTTGAGATAGAAACTACTCTTCATGAAGAGGCTGAGAAAATTGTTAAAATGACAATAAAGGATTTAGAAAATTATATAAATTTAGCTTGTAGAGCAGTAGCAGGGTTTGAGAGGACTGACTTCAATTTCGAAAGTCTTACTATGGGTAAAATGTTATCAAACACCATCATGTGCTACAGAGAAAAAAATTCACGAAAGGAAAAGTCAATCGATGCAGCCAACTTCCTTGTCTTTTTTTAAGAAATTGTCACAGCCACCCCACTCTTTGACAACCACCACCCTGGTCAGTCAGCAGCTATCAACACTAAAGCAAGACTGTACACCAGCAACAATTAGACTCACTGAAGACTCAGATGTTAGCATTCTTTAGTATTTTAAAATTCAGGTATGTACATTGTTTTTTAAATATAATGCTTTTGTACCCTTAATAGACTACAGTATATGTAAACAACTTTTACATGCACTGGGAAACCAAAAACTTCATGTGACTCACTTTATTGCGATATTTGCTTTACTGCAGTGCTCTGAAACTGAAATCTTAAAATCTAAGGTAGGCCTGTACATCTGCAGCATCTCCTTTGCCATGTAACATAACACATTCACAGGCATGCCAGCAGAGGTGAAGGTACTGGGGGCCAAACTTCTGCCCACCACATACATTTTACACAGTGACCTAATATATACACATATACATGAAATAAAATTTAAAGTATGCTTAGTCCACACTCTGATGCTTTTAATATTATATTTATTATTTGTTTATTTTGTATGTCCCTTGCTCTAGGGGATATATCAGGAATATATTATTTTAAAACACCAATGGTAACATATTATATCAACTTCATTAATGGGCTACAACCTCTACTATATCTTTTAAAAAGGTCAACATGCCCTTTTAAATTCCCATTTGCAATACTAGGCAAATGGAAGGGCCTTAGGGGTCTGTGTGGCCCCTGAAATTTTATGAAAGTTATGGGAAAAGTTAAATAATCATGAGAAACACAGATAAACCCATGTTGGGGACATTCTGCAGGGTATCTCACCAGTGCAGGTCATGAATAATGAGGAAACACTTAGGAACTGTCACAGATCAGAGGAGACTGGGGAGACATGACAAATGAATATAATTTAGTATTCTGGTTTGGATCTTGGAATAGAAAAAAGATATCAATGGGAAAACTGGAAAAAGTCAGCCTGGGGTTTGAATAGTAACATATAAATGTCAGTTTCTTTACAATAGCCAAGATTTAGAAACCACCTAAGTGCCCATCAGTAGATGAATAAACCAAAAAAACTGGTATTTACACAACAGAATAGTACACAGCAGTTAAAAAAAGGAATTCTTACCTTTTGCGACAGCATGGGTAGAACTGGAGTCTATTATGCTAAGTGAAATAAACCAGTCAGTGAAAGACAAATACCACATGATCTCACTTTTAAGTGGAATCTAATAAACAAAACAAACTAGTGAGCAAAATAGAACCAAAGGCATAGAAACATGGAATAGACTGACATCTAAAGAAGGGAAGGGGTGGGAGGAACTAACTGAAAGACAGTGAAGGGATTAGTCAAAGAACATGTATGAATGACCCATGGACAATGGTGTGGGGATTGACTATGGGATTGGGGGGTGGGCTGGGTGGAGGGGTCAATAGCATAAACAATAAAATAAGAAAAGCAAGAATAAAAAATAAGTTTGAATTAATAAGAAAAAAAATGTACCTGGTGATTTAAGATGTTAACAATGAGGGGTATACAAGGTCTCTACACTAACTTTGCAACTGTGTTGTAAATCTAGTATTATTCTAAAATAAAGTTTATTTATAAAACATTACAAGTATCTGTGCATTTTTCTGTGGGATCTGTGAACTTTCTATCTTCAATCCATGATCCAGAAATACTTAAATACCCACTGTCCAAGGCTTCCTGCTGCTTTCCTTAACCACTACTTCCTAAATATTGTCTCCTTCTTGCTCTGTCACATCTTACCCTCAAAAAAACCAAAACTTAGCCAGAGACTGGGGCAGGGGAGAGTGGGAAGTTATTGTTGAATGGGTACAAAGTTTCAGTTTGGGAAGATGAAGTGTTCTGGAGATGAAAGATGGTGATAGTTGTACAACACTGTGAATGTGCTAATGCCACAAAACTGTACATGCCACAAAACTGTACACTTAAAAATGATTTCAGTGGGCTCTGGCCAGGTCACTCAGTTGGTTGGAGGGTTGTCCTGTACACCAAAGGGTTGCAGGTTCAATCCCTGGTCAAGGCACATATGGGAAGCACCTAATCAATGTCTCTCTCTCTGGCAGCCTCTCTCTCTCAAATCAATAGGTGGCCTCAGGTAAGGATTAAAATAAATAGATACATAAATAAATAATTTAATTAAAAAATAAATAATGGAATTTGTGCTGATATATGCTATCACATAAACCTTGAAAACATTATCTACATGAAAGAAGTCAGACACAAAATACCACACAGTATGATTCCATTCATATGAAAATGTTCTAAAATTGTGGTGATAGTTGTGTATATCTGTAAATATACTAAAAACTACTGAAACATATACTTTAAATAGACAAACTATATGGTATATGAATTATATCTCAACAAATCTGTTAGAATTATTAACTAGTTATAAATCTAGGATCACATTTTATTTGAACTTACTAAGACCTTAAGTGGTATCCAGTAAATTCTGGAACCAGATTCTGGTGACATGCTGGAAAAATGAAGAATAAAAGACTGAGATTTAGAACAGCTGGCAGAAAAGATCAGGAAGGTCTGTGACCGGGCACGGTAGCTCTCCTTTCAGGGTGGCGAGAACAAAGGCAAAACTATAAAACACACTGGCTTGAAGTTGATCAGACATCTTTATTCTGGCCCATACCATTCATTAAGCAATCTACACAAATTATTCCCTTTTTCTCTGTCTCAAGCAGCAGCAGCTGCATTGAGGCCAGAAGTGGAAGACACAGCAGCAGAAGATCTTGTAGAGAAAAACTAACAGGCGAGATCTCTGTTAATTCCAGCTTAGTTGAAGTTAGAACAGGAAAACTATATGTGTGACATTCCAAGGACTCTTCTTCAAAGCTGAGGCCTGCAGAGGGCTAGCTGAAGGATGCAGGTGAAGGCTCACAAAAGCGCCCAGCTCAGCAATCAATCCAAAGTACCTAAAAAGACAAAGAGCAATGTATAAAGCAAGGTGCCTCAAGAGTTGGATGAGTGTAACAAACTGGGCAAGGTTAAAATGAGCTGCTTTGGTGCTGGCAGTTCTCTAAGACCAAAAAACTTGTTTTGAAAGATATCTGTCCAAAAGGTCCTTGGGGGAAAAACATGTCAGCACAGAGAGCAGGCAGTTGGGAATCAGGCATACTGGTCTGGAGAGTTAGAAACAAAGGTGGGAAAAAGCCCAAGAAGTTGTGTTAATGAGCATTTGTGGACACCACACAAGAGAAGAGTGATACAAAATACATGAGGTAAGCTCTCTAAGCAAAGAGTTGATGATCGTTTAAGAAAGTTTCAGTTCAAGATGGGACACTGAGCCCATAAGTTTGCATGCCCTGTCATCCAACGTTCTATTCAAAAAGAAAAAAGGCTTAAAAAAACATATAAATCTTCAACAAAGAATGGGGAAGGGGGGCATCGGCAGTTAAGAGATTTCAACGAAAAGCTGAGTAACAGAAATCTGATTTTAGTATGTTAATATATTTATTAAGAAGAAAAATGAGCCCAGAATGAACAAAGGAGCTGCTGCAGTAGAGGTGGGAGCCCGCCTGAGTAGAAGACCCACGCAGAGGCTGCAGACTCACGCCAGGAATGATGGAAAGACAGAAACAGCTGGCCCCATCTCTCCACAACCCTCCCTGAAGGCAGCACTACCAGAAAACAAGGATTTAAGCCTACCTTGGCAGGAAAACATGAGGGCTCTCTTCTAAAGAACTAAAGGAATTATATGGAGAAGTAGAGCCACTTTTGAAAATGCTAGTTCTCCACATAAAGCTTTCTGCATTCTGGCCTTTTGGGGACCCCACCGTAACATCTAGTCCCACTCCTGATCACACTAAAATAGAACCACCAGGCAAAACAGTTTCCAACAACCACCTTATTCCCTCATTTTTAAATACAATTAAAATTACCAGGCATTTGAAGAAATCCTATATAGTGAGAGACCAAAATTTACTTTTTTAAAAAAGTGAGAATGTAAATTCCTGCTGAGACCAACTGAAAAAAGTGATTAAACTATTTAAAAAAAAAATCTTTTAGGCATTGAAGCGGCATCAAGAAAAGGCAGATCCAAAGTCCAGAAAAAGCAAGAACAAAGTAAACCTAGCCTTTAAAGCTGTTTTTGCCCTAAAGGTATCTTTCAATCCAACAGATCAATCCAAGAAACAACTATGATTCTGGCAGGCTCAGCTAACGAAGAATCAAATCCCAGAGTCTCCCAAGTGGGAAGGCCTGGTAATCTGTCCTCCATCCCCCTTTTTTTAAAGCTGAAGCAAATATATGGGTAATTTTGTTTATCTTTGACTGTATAACATAGCAACGATAATGCCTTATGTGAACTGACAAAGACAAACAATGAAACAAAAATAAATGACAATAACATATGTGTGGCAGAAGAGAGACTTAAAAGTAGAGTTCATAGATTCTAAGATCCAATTTTGCTGAGGGGAAAAGTACTACTAACATTAGGCTTTGATAAATTCAGGATGCATGAAGTAACTAATGGAGTAACAACTAAAAGAATAGAACGAATGAACTAAAACAACTAACTTCCAGAACAGAACTTCCAAAGGAAAAGAACTAGAACTAACTTCCAAAGCAAGAGGAAAAAATGGAATAAACAACTATTCTTTAAAAAAAGGGGCAACAGCCCTGGCTGGTGTAGCTCAGTGGACTGAGTGCCAGCCTACAAACCAAAGGGTCCTGGTTCAATTCCCAGGCAGGGCACATGCCTGGGTGGTGGGCCAGGTCCCCAGTAGGGAGCCCGCAAGAGGCAACCACACATTGATGTTTCTCTCCCTCCCTTTCTCCTTCCCTTCCTCCCTGTCTAAAAATAAATAAATAAAATCTTTAAAAAAAAAAAAAAAGGCAGGGCAGAGTAATTGAAGAGAAAAAATAAAACACAGGCAAGGCAAACAGCACAAAATGAGATAGATTTAAACCCATACATACCACTAAGTACATCAAATATAAATTATCTGTGTGTATGCTAGTTAAAGACTGTTAGTCTGAATTTTAAAAAATAATCCAATTATATACTATTTGCAAAGATATGGAAATGTAAAAATAAAATATATATATATATACCATGCAAATAATTTTAAAAAAGCTGGTACACTTTTATAATATTAGAATAGACTTTAGGACAAAAAGCACTACTAGAAATAACAATGATCAATTTATAAATACAAAAACTCAAATACTAAAAATATGTAACAATATTAAATCTATACCTAATCACATGGTCTCAGAATATATAAAGAAAAAACAGACCCAGAAATATAAGTAGAAATAGTCCACAATCATAGTACACTTTAACACACAACTCTCAAGAATTGATTAAATAAGCAGACAAGAGAAATTCTTTAGAAACACAAAATCGGAATTCTACAATAACGAAACTTGACGGTGCACCCAACTACATAATACACCTTTTCTTCAGGGACACGCAAAACATTCACAAAGTTGCCCATACACTGGGGTCATAACTCAAGTTTCAAATATTCCAAAGGACAGAAATAATAGAGTACATTTTTTTTTAAAACAATGCAATTATCATTAACAAAAAGGATAACTATAAAATTCTCATGCTTTTTTGGAAATTAAGAAATATTCATTTAAGTGATGCACAGACCCAAAAAATCAAGTTAAGAAACATTCAGCCCTAAAAAAGGAGAGTGAAAAAGAAAAAAAGAATTTCAGCCCTGGCTGGTGTGGCTCAGTGGATTGAGTGACAGCCTGTGGACTACATGGTTGCTGGTTCGATTCCCAGTCAGGGCACATGCCTGGGTTGCGGGCCAGGTCCCTGGCTAGGAGCCTAAAAGAGGCAACCAATTGATGTTTCTCTCTCACATCAATGTTTCTCTCCCTCTCTTTCGCCCTCCTTTCCCCTCTCTCTAAAAATAAAGTAAAACCTTCAAAATTTAAAAAAAAAAATTTAAACCAAATGATAATAAAAATATCAATTAAAACATGAGATACAGCCAAAGCAGAAAGTAGTGGGAAATTTATAGCTTAAAATATATACAGTATCGAAAAAGCCTGAAAATTAACAAACTAAAAATCTATCTCAGGAAAAGAGTAGGAAATTAAACTCCAAAAAAGTGAGAGAAGTTGGAAAAGAGTAGGAAACTAAACTCCAAAAAAGTAAGAGAAGTTGGAAAAGAGTAGGAAACTAAACTCCAAAAAAGTAAGAGAAGAAATAATAAAGAGCAGAAACGAATAAAATATAAAGCAGAATTATGTGTCAGTCAACAGAGCTAAAGGTTGGTTCTTTGAAAAGGCTGAGAAAATTGATAATTCTCTAGTGAAAGTGATCAAAGGAAAAAGCGAAAAAGTTCTGATAACACAAAGAATAAAAAAAGGGATGTCAATAAATACCTTATATTCATTACAAAGATAATAAAAGTATACTGTGAAGAATTCTATGCCAATAAATTTGAAAATTTAGATATACAAATTCCTAGAAAAACTGTAACTCCTTACAGGGGGGAGGTGTCTCACAATAAATAAAGAGGAACAGAATAGTTTTAAAACCATTCTAAAAATTGAATCAATAATCAAAAATCTTCCCACAAAGAATATTCCAGGCTCAGATGGCTTCCTTGGTGAATTTCACCAGTCAAAGAAGAAATCATTCTAAGTTTACAATAAGTTTTCCAGAGAACATTAAAAAAAGGGTATATTCTCCATCTAATTTGAATGAGGCCCACATATAGTATAAAAAAATACCAATCTCCCTCATAAACATGATGCAACATTTGCATTCTGAGAATTCTCTCTTACACACACACACCCCTCCCCCCCCCGCACAGTAAGCCTAATTACTAGGAAAACACTAAAAGCTTACTCTTTGACATCAAGATGCTTGCTACCACTACTTCCACTCAGCACTAGTGGAGATTCTAGCCAGTGCACTATGGCAAAAAAAACTTTAAAACATAAGAATTAAAAAGAACTTTACAAAAATGTCATTATTGGCGGATAGTACTGTTTGATTAAGGAAATACAAAAGAATAATTATATAATCATTAGAATTGAAAAATATATCATGTTCATGGCCTGGAAGATTCACTATTGTAAAGATATCATTTCTCCACCTATCTATATATAGACTCAATGCCAATCATATCAATATCCCTTTTTGTGAAATTTGACACGCAGATTCTAAAATGTACATGAAAATACAAAGAATCAAAAACACTTAAAGAACAAGGTGGAAAGATTTGCTCTCTTGGATAAAACTACTATAATTGAGACAGTGTGGTTCTGACATGGGGATAGAAAAACAGATCAACAGGAGAGAACAAAAAGCCCAGAAACAGCCTTGATTTATAACCAAGGTAGAAATGTGAGAAAATGATATGGTCAACCGGATATTCAGAAATAAATAAATAAATAAATAAATTAGACCCCTACCTCAATCCAATAAATAAAAAGTCAACTCTAGTTTTATGAAAGACAAACTATAAATATTTTAGCATATTAAGAGAATGTCTTCATAACCTTGGGTTAGGGAAAAATTTGTTATTCAAAGACGACATAAATAGCATTATCTATACAGAGTGAAAAGGAAAATCATAAACCAGAAAAATATATTTGTCTCTCATATACTGAATAAGATTCTATTCAGAATATATAGGTATTATTATAAATCAATAATAAAAAAGGCAAAATATCCAAAAGAAAAATAGGACAAATACCCACAAAAAAATGGACATGCCTATGAAAAGATGCACAACATCACTTGCAATGAGGGAAATGCAAATTAAAACCACAATGCAATTTTCACTTATATTACTACCAGATTGACGAAACAAAAACACTGATAATACCAAGTGTTGGCAAGAATGAGGAGCAATGAGAATTATCATATATTACTGGTATAAATGTGAATCAGGTATACAGGAAGCTCTGCAGTACCTACAAAAGCGAGATGCACATATCCTACATCCCAGCAATTTTATACATATACATATACATACCCCCCCCAAAGAAAAACATACAAGAATTTTCATAGCAAATTGTTCATAATAGCACAATATCCAAATAAAGACATGAAAATGGTTATGTTGTAGTATTGTCATATTGTGGCATGCCACACACCAAAGAAGATGAACAAACTAGATATAAGCACAATCACAAAGAGGAATCCCATAAGTGAATTAACCTAAAGAAAACAACTATATTTATGGATGTAAGCTTATGTAATAAAATTATAAAGAAAATCAAAGAAGTAATTACCAAAAAGTCAAGATACAGTTATGTCAGGACAGGTCATGTGAAGACATAAAATAAAGAAGGAACACATAATGGAGCTTCTGGGGCTAACAATATTCTACCTCTTGGCCTAGTTGTTGGTTACAATGCTGTTCATCTTATTATTTATTGACTTTACATTTGTTTGTGTTATATTTCATAAGGGAAGACTTACAAAAGAATATACACATATAAACTTATTTGCATAAAATATCCAGAAGATTATAAGCCTCATAAGAGTTGCCTGCAGGAAGAGGAACCTGTATGAGGTATTAAGGGACAGAAAAGATAAGAGGAAGACTGTTCACTGGACTATTTTCCAACTTCTACACTCAATTTACAGATACAACATGGAAGATTTAATTCTGATAAGATGATATAAATCTTATCCACCTCAAAAATGTGAAAGAATAAGTATAGATGACACAAAGCAAGAGCTAGAAGTGGGCTAAAAACAGGAAAAGAAAAGACAAGTGCAATAATAGTCACACCTTACAAAAGGGAGAAAAGAAACATGTTGAAAGTCGGGTATAATGAAAAACAAGACATTTTACTGTGTTATATAAACTGTAAAAATAATGATACAACTACCAAAAGACAGGAAGGAGGGAAGGAATTTATGCTAAATCTTCATTTATCATAGCAGGAACTGATAATAACTGCAGTTGATAAATCAAGGAGGAAGCATATTACTTAGAAATATAAGTAAACACCTGAAAGCTAAAAACAAAAACAAAGGGTGAGAGCCAAGAGCTGCACTTCATTATATGACATTAAGTAACTATTTGATTTTTAACCATGGATATATATTACCTTGATTAAAAAAGAAATAATTTCCTAGTTAAAACATACACATCTAAAGACATAAGAACATTTGTTTTACCAGGTACTAAATAATACTAAATCCACAAGGGCCAAAATTCTGATCTATTAATTTAATACAGCACAGAGGATTCAATTACTAAGATTATTGGATTGGAACATGAAAATGAACACATTTACCACTCAATAAATGGCATTTATTAAAAATCCAAGCTAAGCACTATGCCATGGCAGAGGCTGGAATGGAAAACTGCGTAAGATCTCTCCACTTCTATTCCTGGCACGCTCAAATTAATTTACTATCCACAGAGCACTAGTGTTATGTCTTTAAAATACAAATCTGATCATATTACTCATCTCTGAAGAGCTGGTAATTAAAAATGAGCAGGTAAAGTAGGCTCCCAACATTTTTGATTGGTCAAAAGTTGCTTGCCTTAGGTAGGCAGCTAGCAAGTCATTTTTAAGAATAATGAGTAGACAGAGAGGCTTAAGAAAACTCTACAAATTAAGAAAATACTTGCTAGTCATGGGAAGCTGGTCATGGGAATTTATCTCTAAAGACATTTAAAAGAATATATCAAAAGGGCCAGGGGCTTAGACTGATATAAAGAGGCAAAACAAAGGTTTAAATATAATAAATCAAGAAAAGATTTCTGAAGGTAATGAGGCTTGAAGGAGGTAATGAGAATACCTTGGAATATGTGTAAGGAGGAGTAAACTGATCATATTTAGGAATTAAGTAGCAGAAATAGTTCTAAGAGAAGGTAGCTAAAATGAAGTATTGCAAATATTTCAATGACAAGATTTAGTTAGTGAACAAGTTAATCTAAAATTCCTAAGGATACAGGTAAACACAGAATCTCTGCAGCAAAATAATCACTTAACACAGACTGTTGAAGAAAAAGAAACAAGAAGTAACCCTTTAAATGTTGGCAATTGTTTCTGATTTCTAGCACTTTGAGGGAGAAAATTTATATCTAGGGGGAAAGCAAAGTAGGAATTAAACATTAGAATCCACCTAATTCCACTGAGGTCTTACTCTCCCATTTCTTTATGATTAGCAATTCTCAAGTAGAAGTTCTAATTCACCAAAGGAATTAGAATTTTTAAATCTCAGCAGATTTAGCAAGCAAGTTAATTTTTTCTATCTCAATAGGAAGTAGGGAGAAAGAATTATTCCTACACAAACAAGGAAGATACATGCATCCATTTTATACAAGGCTTCAAAGTCAGATCATTAGCATGGAAAAGACAGCTAGAAAGTTACCAACTGTTAGAAAACTTACCTTCTAGAAAAGCAAATTCATCCACAGCCTCTATTGCATTATCTGAAACACAAGGTAAAGGGACATCAGCCCCAAAAACACAACCCACACCTTGAAGGGGGCAAGAGATTTTACGCAAATTGGGAAATTTCTAAAATTTGCCCCTTTGCTATCTTGAGATTCATTTCTACTCCACCACCAAATCTTAACTATAAGCTCTCTCTCTCTACAATAGCAAGAAAAGCTGGGCAGTTACTGACTGTTCAGTGAAGGGAATCTCTGCTCTGAGCATCATCAGAGAAGAGTTTGGCAATGAAGCGGGGAAAGTGAGAAGACTATATACAAAAGCTTACATATCTATGATGGTTACCACCTATAAAGAAGAGCCAGAAATCAAATCCCCAGTTTCTAGAGGAAAAAGAAGTGTCAAGGCTGGTACAACATGGCAGAAAGCCTCAAGAGTCTAGTCAGCTTTTGCAACAGCTAGGCTCCCTTCACACTCTGCCCCAACATACCTCCAGGCACTCAAAGCACAGAGACTCTAAAGGTAGGGCTTTCTAACACCATGGCAGTGCAACGGAAAACATTATAGAGTGAGACCCTGTTGAACTAGGCAGCATTTTACAGTGATGTCTTCTCAACCAGCAAGAGGGAAAACTTCACCCAGCCTCCCATATCAGCCCCCAGTACCAGACACTGCAGTGACACTCTACCCAAATCTCTCCTCTGAAGGGTTTTCCTCTTTCCTTGTTGAGCACAGCAGTAGGCATCTTTTGCAATAGTCTCCACAAACAGTTCCTGTGAAGCAAACAGAAATGTACAGTAAGCCCTCACTTAATCTTCTGAGACTTTAGGTGACATACCGTATAACAAAACCAATTCCACCTTAGACTAAGTGATATAAACAACAGCTAAGCTCCTATGGCATCTCATCAACATTACACGGAAACAATGTTGAACAAAAACGAAGATTACAGGATCCGCTGTACTTAGGGGTAGTAGCACAATTTTTGTCAGTGCTCCTATTTGTGAGTAGGGGCAGGGGTGAAAGGGGGCTCAGATGCCTAGGGAGGTTCGAAGGGAAGCTATAGGTTGCCCTGGACTTCTACAGGTGTATTCCCCCTTCCTTCCCGCAGTAGGCCAGGACCTGTCCCTCCTCCCTCATTTGTAAATCCACACCACTCATTCACTTGAGACTCCTACAAGTTATCTGGTAGATACTGGAGATGCAAATTAAAGTCGTTGTCCACGCCCTCAGGATGAGGCAGGTATGCTGACAAACTACTACTACTGTACATACTTTTCCTGCCTTCCCTTTCAACACTCGCACCTCACAATCCGGTCCCAGACATTCTCATTTCCGGGTCTACAGCACACACCTCCCAGGCCCTCCTCTTCCTTCTCTTTCTCCACCCCCAACTCTGGCCCCCGCCACCGCTAAGTCCCACCCCTAGCCATGCTCTCCGCTCCCATCCTTGAGCCCCTGGCGCTCCCGGCGCACCGCGGCTCGTGCCAGAATGAAGATGGCTTCTTGTCCCGCAAGCGTCACGTCGGGGTCCGCCTTAACCAAGGCCTTCACTCGCGCCAGAGGCAACCTGGAAAGACGAGCCCCGGGCGCACTCGTCGGGGCTTGCGGCTGCGGGGCCGCTACCTCCCCACTCGACCCCTCCTCCTCGCGGGGAGTCCCGCTTCCAGCAGCCGCCGCCGCCGCCGCCATCCGGGCACCGAGCGTGCTGCGCGCGGCCGCCGACTGTGCACGCGCAAGCGGCGCCAGCCCCTTTCCCGCGCGCAGTAGAGGCCACGCCCTCTGAGGGCACGTGGCCCCGCCCCTCACGCAGCCCTACTCTCCTAGGAACCCTTAAGAGTGAGAGTGTTGATGAGTTGGAACCTCGGGAAGTTTGTGGCGGTTCATAGGTACGGCCGCACTTCACCGCCACTGGACTGTAGTGACCTCCTTTTCGGTTCCCGGTGACCACCGGTGCCGTCCGGCCTAGTTGAGCCAAGGCACCGCCCCATAGTTGGTGAATACGGTCTGGGACTTGCTAGTGCCGGGAGGAGCGCTCAGACCTGGAGAAACCCAGACCGGACCCGCAAGAATCTTGGTCAACTCAGATTGATACCGAAGGCTGCGCCGGAGAGCCCAGCGTGAGAAGAGGGTACCGAGGAGGGCGCGAAATTTGGACCAGCTTCAAGGAGAACAAGATGCTCTTCAATGAGGGATAGGACTTCGACAGGCAAAAATGGAAGAAGTTCGGTCTAGAGAGGAAAAAGGATAGAGGCTGGAAAACGTGACGTATCTACCACGCGGCACAAACATTCAGTCAAGAGTTGCTTCACAGTATTGCTTCTCAAACTTTTGTCGCAGGATCCTTTATAGTCAGAATTTATTGAAGACCCGAAAGAGCTTTTGTTTCTATAAGTGATATTGATATTTATCATCTTAGAAATTAAAACAAAGTTTTAAAATATTCACTTAATACATTACATGTTAACATAACATTTTTATGACAAGTAACTTACTTTTATAAGTTAATGAGAAAATTCTCTGTAATGCCTGGCTTAGACAACTGGATTTTCTCGTGCTTCTCTGTGTTAACACTGTCACTTGTCACGTACATCTAGAAGACTCCATTGCACCTTACTGAGGTAATGAGAATGAAACTGCAAATAACCTCTTCATATTATTAACGAAACTGAACCTTAGCTGTTTCTTTTAGTGTCTTTCTAGAGAAACCACCAAGCTTCTTCCCAGAGCCTCTTCATTAACCAGGCCAAACAAGATCAAACTAGTTTTCGTGGCTAGAGGGTGCAGACCAACTACCCTCCTTTCCACCATAAAAGTCACTAATAGGTTGCTGCTGGGGCATACTGATTTGAGCCTTGACTCTGATCTCCTTGTGTGGCTTTCTCAAAATAAATCCTCTGTGCAAAAAACCTCTGCCTCTGGGTTTGACTTTTCAGTTGTGCAACAAACCCATTTACCTGAATTGTTTACATTAAGAAAATAGTTTTGACTTCATGAACCCCTAAAAATGGTCCTTCAGAACAAACACACACAACCTCCTCGTTGGTCCCCACAAAATACTAGAGGAAGAGTTGATGTTTGCAATAATAGGTTTAATCTAAGTCAATTCTTTTAATAATAGCTCCTGTTTGTTTTAAGCATTTATTATGTGCATGGTTCATAGTGCTTTCCATTTATGTAAATCATATTGACCTACATCATTTTCATAATGCCCTATTTGAAATAGGTAATATTTTAGCCTTGTTTTACAATTGAGAAAATTGAGACAGATGGTTAATTCACTGAGGAATAGAGTGAAAAAATAAAACAGAGTCACTATAATCAGTCGGCTAAATTACTAAAATCAAGTAGGTTCAGGTTTGAGAAAACAATTCTACTCTTGTTTTAACTAGCCTGGTAAACTTTTGAACTATGCAGTCCTACATCAATGCACGGATATACGTCAGACCTCCAGATAACTTTCTGATTACTCCTTGTAGAACTAAGGAGACAATGTTCGTGTATACAGACTTCCTGATATCCAGTATCCAAACCATCTGACATCCATTATCCATACCATCTGTCATCTAGAGAATTACTACCTTGGACCAATCCAGAGGCTAAGAATGCAGAATTGACTCAAGACTGTACTTTTTACTGTAAGGACTCTTAGCTTTTCTTTCTTCTTCAGAACACTCTGGATACTGCCTAATTGTGTTTATAGTTTACAAACCCTAAGATTCTTGAGTAAGTCTTTATCACTTATTTCTAGTCAAAGCCTCGTGATTTCATTTATAGTTGGCCTATGTCACCCACAGGGGAATTCGGTGAAGCCAAAATGAGTTTGAATTAGATAACATCTGAAATCACTCTCCATTCCAAATGATGTAGTAAACTCTACTGACTGAATTAGCAGAACGCTCTTGTTCTTGGCTGAGATTACAATCTTCAGTAGGGTATCTGAGTCACTGAAATTTTCACTGCAGCCTCCTTTTAGTCCTGAGTCCATCTTTACATCATATTTGTGAATACTCCTGTACTAGGAAAGCTCTACACAAAATTTATAAAAGCATGGACAGATTTTTGTGTCACCTTGCAGTAGAACACTTCACGGAGCACTATTTCAACTGTGTCAAAGTAGGTAAGTACTAATAGTGGCCTAAATTCTGAGTTAATACAATAAAAGTTGACCACTATGTGGGCAGGGTTCATTAAGACTTCCTGAGGGTTCTAAGTCAAGTTGGTGTTTGGAGGATTCTCTCTTTAACCTCCCTCTCTTCCCAGTTGTCTCTCATTTAGTCATATTTTCCCTACCTTTCTTCCATTTCTTCCTCTTCTCCTCCCTTTTCTCCTCACAATGCCTATTTTTTCCTCACCACATGACTATTTTATCACTTGGCCCAGCTCCATACTCCTTTTCCTACTTTTACTATGACTAACAGAAAGAGGTTTATATAGACCACACAGGACTTTCTGACTATGAGCATTAAAAGGCACTAAATCGTGTTAAAGGAGGGAATCATGTTTTACTGTCTTTGAAGTTCAGTGGCAAAAGAACAGAAGAAACGGACGAAGTTCAAAAAAACTACACATAAAAGCAGTTTGCATATCAATCCATATAGGATAAAAGGCTCAAATTATCTTTAAAAGCCTACAAGAAAAAAATGCAAAGAAATTCTGTGTGAGCATTTCATGTAATAAACTAATGGTTAAAAACAACTTACCATCTATCCTTCTGGGGTAAGAGTTCTATCCAAAAGATGTGTACTCAAAGGAAACCAATAACACCTCATTTCTAAATTATTTTTAAAATAATAATATGTGTTGTATGTCATTAAAATATAAACGTCAGCTGAGTGAATTTTAAAGATCTGATTGGCTTTATTTAACAATTCATGAATTGGGCAACATCCAGCCTAGCAGGTAGAAAGGAGCTCTGAGGAACTGTACAACAGGAAAGACTTTTATAGGCGGAAGGGAACAGGAACAAGAAGGTTGTACCTGGCAAAAAAAAAAACAAAAAAACAGGTTGGTTACTGCATGGTTACTTTCCTCTAGCAGGAGTGTCCAACCCATGGCCCACAGGCCACATGAAGCACAGGATGGCTTTAAATGTGGCCCAACACAAAATCATAAATTTACTTAAAACATTATGAGATTTTTTTTATGATTACATGTCACCGTGTATTTAATGTGTGGCCCAAGAAAACTCCTTCTTCCAGTGTGGCCCAGAGACACCAAAAGGTTGGACACCCCTCCAGGGGATGGTAGGAGTCTATCAGGCATATTACCTAATTAGTGCTGATCAGACAATTCATGACTGACTTAAGATTTTATTTCAAGAAGAGGTGAAACTGTCTCGGTTTGGTGATAGGATACTTAGCATCTAAGAGACTCCATTTTGAGCCTGTTGTCCTACTTTTAAAGAACAAAATTCAACTGGGTAAATTTTAAAGATCTTATTAGCTTTATTTAATGATTTATGAATCAGGCAGCATCCAATCTAGCAGATAGAAAGCAGCTCTGAAGAGCTGCACAAGGCATGAGATTTTTATAGACCATAGTGAACAGGAACAAGAATTATACTGGGCGTTTGCTGACTGGTTAAAGCAGAGCTACTTATATGGAGCAAAGGGAAGTCTTGGAACCAGGTTAAGTAACTTGTGCTGAGCTGGCAAGCATTGATTGATTGACTCAGGCCTTCCTTTTCTGGAAGAGCCAAGCATAGAAACTTAAGTTTTGATTTGCTGACATGAGGCTTAGCTTGAGCAACTCCATCTTGGATCTAATTTGGTTACTTTAACATACACATACACACACACATATAGATATATATACACATATATATATAGATATAGATATATTTGTGTGTATATATGTGTGTACATATAGGTATACATCCATATACATATATATATATTTGTGGGGTCAAATGTTAATTCAAAGGGATAACAGAGCATGCTACAGTAAAAAATAAATAATCCATAGGAAGATTTAAAGGGGAAAAATAAAGTATCATGAGCTTGGCTATAGAAACCTTGGGATACAGGGATTGCTAAATCACTTAAAAGCCAAATCATCAGAAAGAGAATCGTATTCAGAAAAAGAAAAGGGAGAAACAAAAGAAAAAAAATTTAAGATCTAAAAATATACATCTTAAAAACAAAAAAAAAAAGTCTACTTTCTTTTAAGATTTTATTTATTCTTAGAGAGAGAGGAAGGGAGGGAGAGAGAGAGGGAGAGAAACATCAATATGTGAAAGAAACACCAATTCATTGCCTCTCACATGCCCCCAACTGGGGACCTAGCCTGCAACCCAGGCATGTGCCCCAACTGGGAACTGAAGCAGTTACCTTTCAATTCGAAGGCCAGCACTCAATCCAGAGTCACAAAAACCAAAGCAAAAAAGCCTACTCTTAATTCAGGGTTTAAAGAAATTGTTTAGGCAGTGATTCCCAATCTTTCCCATCTAACTTTAATTGAAATAGTCTTTCTTTACAGAGCTTAGTGGTACGTTTCTGGTTACAATGAATACATGTTACTCTTGTTATTTAAAAAAATATAATAAAATTAAAAAGAAAGGAAAATTTTCTACCATGGCAAGACTGCAAAGAAAGAAGAAATGTTTACAAAGTGTGGTTGAGGGTATGAATTTACATTGTGTACTGGAAGACATACCTGGTGAATAAATATACCCACCTAGATCAAAGACCATTAACATAAAACCCATTTTCTCTTCTTCCAG